GAAGACTAGAGATAAAATCACACCCATGTCTGTTAGATTTTGGGTGTTCATGACCATGGTTACCTGATAGAGGCAGTTGACTGTTCATAAGGAATTTCTGATGGTTTATTAAATTTGTTGACAAGCAGCAGTTTGGATAAGATTCGTTAGTTCATGAGATAATGTATCCCACGACAGTTGAAGATGGTTACCGAATACCAAAGGACATAGAATAGAATCATAGAATCCCTACAGCGTGGAAACAGGCCCTTTGGACCAACAAGTCCACACCGAACCTCAGTGCATCCCACCCAGACCCATCCCCCTATAACCCACCTAAAGCTACACATCCCTGAACAGTACGGGCAATTTAGCATGGCCAATCCACCTAACCTGCACATCTTTGGACTGTGGGAGGAAACCGGAGCACCCGGAGGAAACCCACGCAGACACAGGGAGAATGTGCAAACTCCACACAGACAGACACCCGAGGCTGGAATTGAACCTGGGTCCCTGATGCTGTGAGGCAGCAGTGCTAACCACTGTGCCGCCCCTAAAAATTGCCCAGCTTTCATGTAAGGTGCATCACAAACAATCCTGGTAGCGATGGGATTCGAACCTCGACATGTTAGCATTTGGCACTGATCGCATTAAACTTGTGAAGGCAACGTTCCACTATCTGCTTAAAGTACTAAGGAACTCCTCCCTGCATCTCTCCTGCTCTATCTTCCATCTGAAGAAAACAGTTCTCTGAGAATTACCACTTACAAGGACTGCCGGATGAGAACTGCTCTCTGACCTGAGCGCCTATTGGACTGTGTTAATCACCCATTTGAATTCTTGGACATGGAACAGCTACTCATGATGCCAGAATCAATGTTCTCCATTTACCAATCTTCATTCAAAGATTACTTGTCGTGTTTTTCTCAGAACAAAACTTGTTTTCCTAAACACTGCATTGATAATAAGCTAAGTATGGTTCCTCATGACCTTAATGATCCTGGTGATTCTTGTTACCGTATTTGCTACAATGGGAATTAATTGAGATCTCATGCTACACAGAGGAAAATTCAGT